CAAGCTTCTCAGGGATGTAGGAAGCACCATCTGTTTCCAGTGCAATGTAAGTGCCCACCAGACTGCATAGATTCCCAGAAGATTGATATTTAGGTTTTGTCAAGAAGAAACATGGTTCATTTTCTAGGTAAATTTTTGGGTGGTTAATTCCAGGAAAATTTAAGGTCCTAAATTTTCATAGCAAAAACGGTCCCAAGGTATACAGTATTTAATACTCCCTAGGTATTTAAACTGCCCAAAATGAAATTAATTACACTGAAAACCAGACTGCTGTGTGGTTTAGAAGTATAAGTGTGCAGAAGAAGTAATGCCACACACAGTGACACTGTGTGTCCCATGTCCTGCCAGCTCAGGTGTCCTTAGAAATGTCAACACAAGCACTGGGCAGCAGACTCACCTTAAACTTCAAGACCGAAGTAAACAAAACTTGGAGGTGAATGATCAAAATATGTTGACTACTACTGTCTGTCATCATGTGAAAGCAGTTCCCAAAAACTTGACTTTCACCAATAATCAAGAGAAATCCAAAAGATATGGTGAGGACACAATGACTGACATCTCCTGCCTTACAAGCTAGCACACAAATGATGCTACTCAGGTCAGTATAGAATTTAAACACAACGGCAGCACTACCATACATACTCTTCTCACTCTTTTTTCTTTTTCTTTTTTTTTTTTTTTAATGCAAAAAGTCCACAGAAGTTATACAGCAGAGTTTGTGAACTCAGCAGAAAACCATGCACAAATGCAAACTGACAGCAAATGAAAATCTTTCACTGTTTCTATTCAGATAAAGCAATTTCTTGCAGCAGTTCATTTAAAACCAAATCTTATGGTCATATTACAAGGACACAAGTTGTATCTTAAGGAAATAAAAAAGAAAAATGATGCACTGATCTGTTATGATATAACACTATTAGTTAAGATTCCCTACTAACAGGAAATCCCTAACAGAGTGCAAACCAACAGCAATACCTCCTGTGTTACTGAGCTTTGCCTTAACCAATAACCAACTTTGAGGAGAGTTTCTCCATAGTTTTTGAAGCTTCTGTGGCAAAAGTTATCCAGGAGTCTTGACACATGGTAGACACAGTATTTGTTTGATAATGAAGTACAGAAGGAAGGGAAAAGTGTGAAGGGAAATTCTAACTATTTGAATGTTCAGACACAGCAAAAAACCTGGTTCAAATTCACCGGGACCAGAAATTTTCAAGACAAATGCTGACACTTAGTCATCTGTTTCTGTTTATTTGCTGCAGGCATCACAGAGCAGACTGTGTCTCAGCAGGGTTGTGATTACTTCCATAAATAATGCATGCTTCATTTTGATTCATTTTGTGTACCTGTTATGCCATTTACTTTGGCATCCAGAGGAAGCCCGTGATGTGTTCAGAAGGCCTAGCTACCAGTTAGCATAGCAGAAAGAATAGATCCAGATTCAGTGTAGGCATCTATGTGAGAACAGGTAGAGTAACACCCTAACAAAAATTAATCTATTGAGCAATGAATGTTCACAATAAGAAAGCAATGGGAATAACAAAGAAAGGATTGGTTTTCATACTTACTGGCATGATTTACACTGAAATAAAACACCTTACTTCAGTTACAACACTGAACTGCATTGAGCCATTGGCAAAGAAGCTGAAACTAGAGTTCAGCAGCATAAACATCCAAAACCCAATTGCTCCATTACTTAGTATTGGTCTAAGGAGTTTCCGAATGTGATTTTTGACAGAGGTTGTTTTGAGCTAAGAAGGGTATCTGAAATTGAGATCCAGGGCTCGACCTTCTCCAAGTTTTGTCTTTTTTTGTGATAATCTGGTGTGTGGGTTTTCTGGATTTTTGTTTCTTTGCTTGCTTTTGAAATCTGATTATATAGTTCTAACACCACCGAGCAATTGTTGATGTTATACTTAGAAGTTGTTGTCTACACTGTGTAACACTCCAAAATATAGCTTGTAAGTACTCAGGCTTTGGGATACCCAGTGCAGTCCTTTAATTGAGCTTTCTAGGCTTTTTTTTTTTTCAGTTGCCTTCCAAATAATGAGATCATATACTTAAAATTCTTCAGTTATTCTTGTAACTTAACATATGGTCTCACCCACTTATCTTGTTTGTAGATGTTCTGACCTTTAATGTTTTATGTATCCTAATTTTGATTATCATAAATGTCTTCTAAACAGCAGCTAGCATCTGCTCTTTACAGCTTTTTTTTTTTTTTTTTGTCATTCTGTGCTGACTTTACATATTCATAATAAAAAAAAAAAAAAAAAAAAGCCTTTAAATATTAAAACACTATATGAAGTTTCAGATTTTGTTTCATTTTGTCTGTTCTTAATCTCAGTGGAGCTGGCTGTACTTTTCATCCCCAGAGACATGCCAAAATTGTTATCAGCTGGTTTAAATCAAAATGAAGATACAATGTGTGCTCTAATTGTAAATTTTACATTTCCAGGACTCCTTGTAAGACATTCCAACTCCCTTTCATGTAACTTCCTGCATTTCAGCATACCCTCTAAAAGGCTGACACCACCAGCTCGACACATCTTTCTCTAATAGGTTTCCCTGGTCTAACTAAAGGAGTATGAGATTTGGGAGCAAACTGATACTGTTACTATGATTATAAATTACTATTTTACAGATTCTGTATGTCTATTCCTATTGTGAGTCTTCCTACTTCTGTAGGGTTTGAGTTCAGCAAATAAGGCCCATCTAGTCTCAAGATAACATTCCTGCTTCAGTGGTAGGAAAACATCCTCCAGAATTTGTATCGTGTAGTAACATTCAGTCTACTTCCTTATGTCCACATTAAATTAAATCCAGTGAAAGAGAAACCTTGAGCTAAGTTTCTGGGTTATTGATAATCTATACTTCGTGCTGAGAGGGCATGATAGTGAGGGGGAGATGAACATGCCTTTCTCACACCTGTCCTCTTTGCTTGAAGGGTACAACTGATGAATAGACTGCCAAAGCAAGAAGTTTTTTCTTGTGTGGGTTTTTGTGTTTTTTGTTGTTGTTGTTGTTGTTGTTGTTTTAAAAATCATATGCACAACATACATTGACATTTCCTAAACAAGAATTTAAAATATGACTTTTTTTTTTTAGTTTGGTCACGAAGGAAACACTGTAGACTGTATTCTGTTCTCACGTGGGTGGACACAGAGAATAATTTCAGTAAAATGTGGTGCAGCAGATCTCGGTAATAGGAGACAAAATCCTGCAGTGTTAACACAAACAGAGTAGACACCCTTTTCTCTGTTTAAAGAGGTTAGTCCTTCCACCACACCTGTCACAAAGTCCTTATTTCACCATGAATCAGTGCACATTCAGGATGCAAAAACAGGCTCAGAAATGCATGGCACACTGCTGATAAGGAAGAGGAGAAAAGAAAAGGTCAAGTCTTTGAAGCAAATCAGCTAATTCTGCAAATAAAAAGCCTGGTTAGGGAACAATGCAGGACTCAATGAATACCCGGGGAACTGCCTCACAGAATCAACAGGTACTAGATAAAACCATCAAACAGTATCACATTTTTCCAATAATTTGCCAGTGGAAACAAGTGAGGTGATGTTTTCTTTGCTATTTATCTGGTTCTCTGGTATCAGATCTGTCTGGTTTAGGCATGTCATTTGAAATTTAAAGCCAGGTTGACAATGGTAAGAGAGGTAGATGAAAGGTGTCCTCCAAAGGATGAAAAAAGCATGCTATACCTCTGGCCATTTAGCTGTGTAAATAACTTACTTCCACCAAAAATAACAGTAATGAATTTTGCTGGCAAATATCCCTATCCATTTATACAGGATATTTAAACATGTCTTTCCATTATCAAGTGCAAACACATCTTTGGAAACTGTACTGCTTCTGTGTTACTTCATTACAGTACTTAAGCACATCATAAGAATGGCTTTGACTAATTCCATTGTTTTGTCTTTTCTATTCTCATTGCTTTCATCTCTGTTATTTTTTTTTCTCTTGCATATTTCTAAGGACTCAGAAATCTAGAACAGGAGTGGAAATAAAAAATACTTTTCATGCTGGCATGTCAGACCTTTTCTTCCAACTTGTACTCTACACGTAAGGTAACAAACTTTTACATATAGTTTTTAACAGTAGCTAATCAATCATCTATTTCATAAAATTTGGTATCAATCACAAATAAACTGCTGCAAGAGCCAGGTTAAAATCCTTTATTATAAAGGAGAAGGACAAGACCATAAGAATTTTAACCTCAAATGACTGACCTAATATTTGGGCAGGATTCTGGGCTGTTATTTTATGGTGTATTGAAGAACAGTCAGTGAAACATTGTGATATCCAAATTTGGTTTGTCAGTGTTAAATTTTCGTTTAGACAAATGAACAGTTTGAGCTTTGGATCACATTACTGCATGTCTGGACTCTGTGGAAAGCATAAATGGAAGTTTTCTTGTACAATGCAAAGCCTTGTTTTTAACATTATTAACACTACTCATGGATACTACAAGCGGAATAATTATAGGCATAAAGTATAGACAATACAAAGACAAAACTGAAAACTCCTCTAAATATTTTCTCCAACGTATTTTTCCTATGTCTTTAATTATATTTCTAACAATGTTGATTTCTTTTTCCCCTTAAATACATAAAATACATTGTGATATGTCTGATACTAAAAAAAAAAGCATTTGGCTTGAATCTATTTTGACCTAAAATATTAAACACTGAGATAAAAATGCTTTCAATCTGAAAGGAGAAACAGCAATTAAAGGTGTGTATAAAGATATTTGCATAGCTCCGAAGTCATCTAAAGAGAGAGGCAATTTTTGCAAGTTGATTTTATAAAAATCCTTGAACAGCTTAAGAACTGATTTCTATGCATAAGTTAAATTAACAATGCTAGGCTAATCCAAATAAAAACAGCGTGAGCACCATCCAATGCAGTTTATTGTAAGATTTTAGTTCCTTCTCTGAAGTAAATAAAAAAGGTATTTATCGACTACGCAATACAAGAACAAAACTCACCATGAACAAGGAAGAGGAAATGTATATATCATGTTTCAGATGACTGTAGATCATCCGGCCTGTAGCTGGATATACCACACACCGCTGAAAGATTTTGCCATAACGATCAAGATCTAAAAAAGACAAAAACACAAAAGATAATCAGACAAAGAAATAATAAAAACTAATAATTCCTTATTTAAAACACAATTTTAACTTTCATTGCTCTTTAAAACAAACTATTAAGGAAAGTTCAAAAAATCCTGTTTCATACTATCATCATCTAGCAAGAATTTATTTTATAACAGCTGTAATGCATTTTGTTTAGTTACTTCATCTGCAGTTCTTTTGAAGGTTTTGTAGCTTTCAAACTCATCAAGATTCAGAGTCTTTGTTCATTTTTGTTTTGTGATAATCATTTTTTGTACTTTTACTCAAATTTCACCAGGGCTAATTACTAAATAAAAAAAATACTGAATCATTCTTTCATGCTACCTCCACACTCCTAAGAAATGCTGCGGAAATGCTGATTCAAACAAAACATTTGACAAATTTGAGAAGATACATTTTTGCTCAGAGTGAAAAGGGATGGTAGAGGTCTGCATTTTGAAGAATCTCATTTTGGCATTTTCAGTTTTCAGTAATTTTCTGGCAGAAGAATCTTTATTTCAAATTAGAAGTTAAAATAAAGTTATGACTAAAGTGAACATGTTATCAGAACACAGTGGCTGGCCTTTCACAAATCACTTTGAAACCACAGGAGTCCCAAATACGTTTTTAATCAGACATAAAATAAAACTTCAGAGGTTTGTTTCAGGTGAGGTTTTACACTTTCCATGGAACTGTGTAGATCTTAAATGTTATCAAATTGATTTTCTTTTCACATTTAAAGAGAAAAGCTCAACTTAAATGAATATAATTTTCTGACTATTTTCTGGAAATTGTTTGCAACCACATCTTACATCTTTTGTCCTTTACAAGTAAATTCTGTTGATTCAAGAAACTGCATGAGCCTTCCAAATACTTAATCTTCTGTCCTGCCTTCTCAAAAAATCTGTTATAAAGACTGAATTAAGGACTTAGCCAAGTCATACACAAATTCATTAAAATTGGATGAGTAGAAAATGTCATCACACAATTTTTCTAGAACTAAATATTCTTATCTAGAATTACTGAACAGGGGAAATCATTTTTCAACTGACAGAAATATGGGAATATTTTATCACTGTGGATACTTCTGTGAAATTTAAAACAAACACGCTTAGAAAAAGACATTCCAGTCAATAACAACCATTTTTTATATGTGTTCTTCTAAATAAATACTTTCCTATTACTTTCTAATTCTCTTTCAAAAGGATACAACTACATATTTTCAAACATGATTGGACTTTGTGCAGATGCTCAGCTACTCTGTAGCAGATCCTACACCAGACTTCTTACTGTTCCTGCTTCTTGCATCCCTGCTCTCTTTTCAGCACAAGAGAATAGGAGTTGGGGAATACTTTATCTTTCAAGTCAGGTCTTTCTCCTCCAGCCAATCACCCCTTGGCTACAGACCCAGCAGTGCTGGCATTAGGGACAGAGCAGCACAGGATTAGGCAGGCACATAGGAAAGTCAGACATCTTAACCTGACTCTGCAGCTATGGGTATGCACTCAAAATATGCCCTTGTTGAGAAGTATTTTATCTGCAGAGACAGCATCTCAGCGTTTGCTGTAGTATTTTTTATGCAGTATTAAAAATTGTCAGCTTTATTATAACATGCCAATGAATTACGCAATACAAATTTCTAAAATTTACACTTAATTAGGGCAATTACATTCAAATAAAATGTGAAAAAAATGTTAAAAAAAATGATATGGTCATTTGGGATCTTTTAAAAGATCTTTTTTCACATAGAGTCTTCAAGAACCAATAGTTTTAGAATATTCTTTTCTCATAAGGTGTTTAGATAAAGACATCTACTTGCATCATTTAAATTACTTGTTTTTCACCATTCCTAACTCTGAATATAAGAAAAAGTACCAGCCTGGCTTTGCCAAGACAAAATAGACAATCAAGTAACTAGATTTTCCCCTCCAGGGTAACATCTCTTGAACAGGATTAGACTTCAATTAATTATAAAATCAAAACAAACAAAACATTTTAAAAAATGTGGAGAATTTTTCACTCTCTATTCTCTCCCTTAAAACATATGAAATTCATGCGATGACTCCAAAAGATTTGTTACTGTTTTTCTTCTCAATGTACACCAGCATATACTGTCCTTTCCACCACAGCAGCACTTTCCTCAGAATTTTCACAAAGCTCATCTAATGCTTCTTTGCAATGTGAGAAGTTGTAGGACACAAAAAGCAGTCAACGAGTACAATGAACACAGCCTGGCCAGGTAAACTTTATTTTCTGAATAACTCTACTTTCTCTAATTACACCACTGAAAATAGTGGAAAACTCACATTTTGGCCTGTGGTATTTTGAACGCCATGTCTTAAGAAAGAAAAACGAACTCTGCAAGGATGAACACTGTTGTGGGTTTTTTCTTGTTGTTGTTTTTTTGTTGTTGTTTATATTGCTTGTTGTTTTTTTTTTGTTTTGTGTGGTTTTTTTTTTTTTTTTTTTTTTTTTGAGTACACATAAGAACAAATAAGACAATATACCCAACAGAGGTATATATCTAAGTATTTTTGAAAGTTATTAAACTCTCAGTTTCTCTCCTGCAGCAGTCTGGACTATTTTACAACAATAATATTTTAAGTGTTTTTTTAAAAAAAAGGAAACAAAGACCAAAATATCCAAAATACTAACAGCTACAAATTTGCTCATAGCAGCTAGTCTTGGTCTGTTGCCAGCATGCAAGTGGCATGGTGGGATGGTGAGAGGCTATTCCTGCCCTGCTAAATGCAAACACATAGCTGGATGTGTACCCACAGCCAGATGGAAGACCATGAACCTTGCACATCAGCATCACAAACGGACAGTGCAACCAGCCCCAGGATGGAACAAGGAGTAGTTCAGTGGCACAGTGGGCAGCACACACTGAGCACACAGGTTTTAAGGTCAGAGAAGCAAGAAAGGACACAGTTTACAATGATGAGATAATTCTGGGTTCACTTAGGAACAAATTTAGACCGTGCCTATGCCTCATTGCCATCTCCACAAAAGCACTACTAAAAAAGGGCAATTTTTTCAGTGTCTTAAGTAACTACATAAGCATCCAGATGTAACATGAATTAGCAATTGATTCCACTAACTGGAAAAGTTGTTTTCAAGGATATGATAATAATTGACAGAAGTAGTTTGCAGACCATCATTCTCTATCAAATTCCGTCCTGTCATTCCAATCAGGGTAAGTTTTTTTTCTAACAAGCATCCCACACTGAAAACTAATCAGAAGTCAGAGCTATTTTGAATGTATTTCACAGCATGTGAAAGGTGATTCTTGGAAAGCTAATTGCAAATGCTCCGCTGACACTGAGAATGTTCCTGAATCTTTCACATTCCCTTCAACCAGGCTCTGCAGGCCTGCTCCCTTGCTGCTCACCTATACATGCAATGACAGCCTCGGGAACAAAGCACACAGCCCTCCAAAATATATATTTGCTTGTTACATTCATCAATTTTCACTCATCAAAATGTATTTTACATGCATGCAACACTGATTCTGAGCATAGTTCTATCCTTTTCAAAATCAAACTATGGCCACTACTTGGAAGCATTAAGAAAAAAATACAAAACCCCAAGGTCTCACCACCTCTACACGGTGCTAATCAGGATCCACCATGTAAACATCTGTAATAAACACGTGTAAACAAATGCTAAGGAACTTTCATGATAAATGCTTGATGTTCAGCTCGTTTTAAATCAGTGATGGTGTTCAAATTGATTGCTATGTATACAATTTTCCTTATCTGCATGAAAATCTCTTGTTAGGTTTCATTACGCCAAGATTTGCGTTGATGGCAGGCTAAATGCCAACTGATTATGATAACACACTGAAGAATAACAATATATTAATTGTGTACAGCAGGAAGAGAAACTGGATGCATCTGTCCCTTTATAATGAACTAAACTGGATCATATCCAGATGACTGAACATTTTGGCCCCTGGCAACTCTTGTAACTGTTGTTTTAATCAATCTTTGGTTTATGTTATGAATATGCAATATTTTAGAACTGTGGAGTTGCCTATTATTGCTTGAAAGTATCAAGTTTATTTTAACAGTGAGACCTTATAACCACAATGGCTAATGAGTACTGATAAAGTGCTTTTTAGTCCTTATACAAATGCTATTAGTTACTGACCTATTTTCAAAGTGTAACCAATCAAATTCAATCAAAAAAAAAATCTGCTCCTCAGAGGCCAAAGAATATGACTTTCCATTAAAATGCTATTTTCCAAAAAGAATAAATGTCCAAAAAGTAAATGTAATTAAGCTGTACTAGGAGCACAGTTAATTAAAAGTATATCTGGCAGCATGCTTTGTTCAAAAAAAAAAAAAAAAACACCTCAATTTTCACAAGGATTTGGCTGATATTAGTTTTTCAAACAATGGATTTTCAATTCAGACTCAGGAGGAAAGGGCCAAACACCTGTGATCTCTGGACAGCGAGCAATGCTTATAGTAGAGAAAATTAAACTGTGGAACACAAGTTACATTTCTTTTGCACATCCTTTATTGCTTTTTATACAGCAATCCCCTACTATACTTCAACCTCATTCAGTAATAGCAATGAATTTAAGACTTAAATGCTGATACATATAACAATTATTAATATTTTATTTCAAAATAAGAATGATTGCATGAACAGCATCAGTTTGGTTTGAAGTTGAGGTAGGAAGGTAGGTAGCAGTCACTAGCGGTATCTTATTTCTGCCAAGTATTTATTAGAAGTATTAAGATGAACAATTTTTTCTTAATTTCCTTAATCTTAATTTCAAACCATGGTTTGCATCTGTATTTAGGCCATTTATTTGTCATTGGCATGAAGGCTCAATGCTGTGCTAACATTTGTCTGCATGGCTTTTAAGCTCTTTGTTGAAAAAATACCTGTTTTCCTGCTGTAAAAGCACAGAATAGCAGAGTGAATACTGTCATTTCATATAGGCAGATGCTTAATATCACCTCTTACATGG